TAAATAAAAAATATGAAAAAATACGGCTATTTTAATATCGCTAGGATCAACACTAACAAACAAAAATAATATGTTCCTGAAGCTTTCTTAAAGTTATTCAATACGAAACCAATAAATAAAAACCAATAGAAGCATTAATTGGACATATAATATTATCTATTTTCTTTATCGAATTATTTAGGTTCATCAGCTGTTAAATAACAAAAGCAGAAGTTATTCCATTAACTGTATAATATGTAAGATGACCCTCTACACCTCTGCTTTCTTTCATAACATCATAAACAATCAGACAATTGCCAAAAAAGAAAAACTTCGATATGACTTGAAAATATTTAAGTGTTTCAACAAATCTATTCATACACCTACTCTCTAAACTCCAAAATAAAAATGCTAAAGTGAAAATGTTTTCAATTGTTCCTTGTAGATCAATGATTAAATCATTATTTCCTATTATTGTGATTAAGAACAGCTCCTGTACGATGTGAAAAGTGATCAAGTAATTACCGTAACTCACCAATTTTGTCAATTAGAGCAGTTTTCAAACAAAAAATGACGTAATCGTCCAGTGAGAACTATTTCTCGTCTACTCACTCATTTTGGCATTGTTTGAAAAAAAAAAACAAAAAAAAAACACCTTTCTACAGTCTCTTGCTTTCACCTCTTTTTTTTTTTTTTTAATAATCTATTCCAATATTTCTTGTAAACATTTGTCATCATCAACATTTATATTTACTGAAGTCACTAAGAAGATCATTACATAAGAGTTTAAAAGGAAAGATATACGTGTAAATAGATTAATAAACACATATAGGATAGAAAATTTCGTGAAAATACTTTCTTACTTAGTACTTATTTTTTTTTCTTTCGTACAACATTAGGAATGATTAAAAACATAGCCAATTATTGAAAAATAGTTTATTACTCCCGAGTAGTTATAAATCAAATAGTTTGGAATGATAGGATATATATACAATTAAATTATTCATTAATTGACCATCGAGAATGCTTACATAGATGCATATTTTTAAAGTATCGGAAATCAAAACAAAGGAGATTGGCTTTCCATCGAAAAATATACAAAACTTTCAAAAACTCAAATCACTGTACAAAGTAGTCAGATTTCGATTAATTTCTTTTTGTTCTGTAAAGAGATAGAGCATTAAAAATAAAATAATTCTTTTTTAAAAACAAAGTATTTACCCTAGGACACAAATATTAAAATATTGGTCATAATACAATTTCGGTCACATTTGTGCATCGAATTATTCGAGAAAAAAATTGAGAAATTGAGAGGCTCTGTTGTAGGATTGTAACGAATTAATTTAACATGCTGTTATTAAATAACAGTATTGTTATTATATGCAAATAAGTTGTTTACTTTTCTTGAGAACCTTTATTTATTTATTGGGGCATGATGATTTGACTGACGTTGCTTGGTAATGAACTGGCAATAGTAATCTTACTTTGTTGACATAGGAATTTTCTTGCGATTGAGTGAGGGTTTAGCCCGAGAAAACAGAATCTAGCAGAGGGAAGAGAGTGAAGAACGAATGTGCTAATAGAGAATTGAGTTCTAAGCATCTGGTGCAAGTCTTACAAGGGGATGTCACGGACGTGGGGGTCTTCGATTTCAATGAAACTTGTTTTGGTGATACTAGGCCAAAAAATATTAGATCTATGCCCGAGGATTCTTGCCAATGTGCAATAGGAGCCGAATGAATAAGAATAAAGTATGTATTACTATTATCTTTATTATTCTCACTTTTGCGGATTCAAAGTTGAAGAGGGGGAGGGTAGTAATTCCAACCAGCTACAGGTATACATTTTTTTCAAATATTTTCTGGTTATATCCAAGAGAACTCTTAACACACCAAGGGGTAATTACAAGCCATTTGTACCTGTCACCGTTGACCATTTGTTGATATTATTATTATTAATATATAAAAGCGTAAAATCTGAAAGTTATTGAACTGGTTTTGAAGAGCAATTATTTAGCTTTCAAATGGTTGTAGTAACGTTGACTTAAGAGAAAATCCTGAAGAGTTATGAATATTCTAGTAAACGGCATATAAACAAATCTTCCCGTAAAATTAAGTGCACTATTAAGAAAATAATAATTTCTGAGAACCTGAGGCTGTAGGCGCCCACAATACGATGTAGTCCATTAAGACATCCAACTTCTCAAATGAACAGTAAAATTGAATCTTCTACCCAACCTTACTCCGTGGTAGGCTACTTCCTCACTTGAGCTTATTCTTATTCCCTCTTCAATCATGGTGTGTGAGAGGGTGAGCACTACAAATCGTACCTTTCGGAGAGATTGCTTCAGTTTTTGCAGCTGCCATTTTCATCATTTTCCTCTCGCGCCATTCACTGATTTGATTGGCGCATCTTTCTGTTGCTGGACCTCATCACTACGCATAGGCACTTGACAGGCATCGACATAGGCAGTGGCAGGGAATCTTTTCGAGAACTTTCTTTTGTCCTCCCCTTCCTTGTCTTATAGGTTATACGGAGTTTTTCCCAGTCCTGGGGAAAGTGTGGTGGATAAATGCAAGAGGTAAAAGCTCCCACGACACCGGGACGCGAACTCGTAATTATTTTATCAAGTTACATTCAGCTTACCATGTTGCCGGGAAATAGGTGTTTTGGATAAGCGTTAATCCCGCTCGGTCACTCCTTCCCCAAAGTCAGCACAAGGAACTAAATACTAATGTTTTTTTCAAGGCAATTTTCTTATTTAATAAATGGTTATAGAAGTTTATTACTACTGCTAATATTGAAGTTATTTATAATGAGCTGTAAATACTGTTAAATGAATTTTAAATATACTTCATTTACTTATGTAGTATTGTACTTGACATATCTCCTTAAATCTGATAAGTAACCGGAGATCATAAACGTCAGAGCCAGAACTAATGGGAAAAGAGATGATGAGATAAAAAAAAGAAATAATAAGTGCCTGGTAAAATTTACAATCTTACAACCTCGTGAATCTGGGATCATGAGGATCATTGGGAACTTCAGTTATCCTTCATTATCAAGAACTCGTTTAGCGCGAACTTATTTCGTGACCCCGTTTAAACCAACGCATTCTTATACAATCTTAAGAAATCCTCGGTCAACCCTAATCTCTAATAATACAAGGGTGTAATTTTAAGCTGACACGAACTAATTTTATATAGAAATTTTTAGTTTACTATTTTTGACGGCTCCTTCTTCTTCATTATTTAAAAAATTTCCTTAAAATATTTAACCAATAATTTTTAAAATATAATTTCTTTTCTGTAACTCTTCTTCCTTTCTCTTTTCTTTATTATTATTATTAATACTCATCATTTTATTATCATATCATTACTATTTGTATTATATAGATTGTTAAATTATTAACTGTATTGTTGTAGTAACAACTCAGCAGGTAGGCACTTTCAATTTAACAAAGAGATTTTATTAGTTTGTTTTACTTATGTCAAATATTTTTATTTTGGTAAAAATCACTACAAATTTTTATAAAATTAATTTTAGTGGTGTTTCTAGTGGCAAAATTTATACCTTTATTCATAGTTCTATATTTCAATAGTGCAATCGCCTACTCTGGAATCAACTTACTCACTGTATAGATATCTTATCCAACTAGAAATATCACTAAAATGACATTACTCAAAAATGTTGAAATTGGAGTTATTCATTCTATCAACTGAAAGTCTCAAAGATTGAACTTGTGTGATTTATAAAAGCAGATGGAGTAACTAGATGTTGTCTACCGTCGATATAATAAATAGACTTTTTGTAATTTTAATGGTCTTAATGATTTGTTATCTGTAAGGTTTATCTCCGTTTACAATACACTTCAAAAATTGTATAATAGCCCAACATTGCCAGAAAATAATTTCAATTCAAAGTAGAGCGGTAAGTGAAAGTTGTGTGTTGCGCGCACCAGATTTTTTTCAACTTCGTCTGCGAGATCAGCTGTTTTGTGTCATTGCTTCCATTTTAAACGCCTCATTTTAGTACTAGAATCGCTATTCGAAACCGGACTAATATATATTTTTTATCCATGAAATTATTATTCATATAATCTTTAAAACTATAATACACCTTGTCCGCCTAACGGCGTACCAACCCCCATTTTACAAATTATCCAACTTTTTTTTTTTAATTGTACTACTCATTGTTCAAATTGTATAACTGTAATTTTCATGTACCGCGTAGTAAAGATTGTATTATTTTTTTTTCAAAAGGAAATTATAAAATTACTACACTTCAAATAATTTCCATATGATGATAATCATTTATATCATAATCAATATCGATTTAAAGATTTTTCCAATTTTTATCTATGAGAAAAGGTGATGGAAAAAGTAGTTTTGTCTTTGCTTTTACATTTGGAAATATTTCTGCCATGGAAAATTTTGAAAAATGTATATCAACTATAAACAAATCACTTTACATCCCTGAGTTCCATGAAATGTGATTAACTATCGTAATAGAAACAGGATGACAACAGTAGAACGACATTCGAAAAAAAGTGTAATTGGAGACCCCTAAATAATTTTATAAATTCCCGTTTAATAAAAAAATAATAATATTTTTTTTTTTTTTTTACTAAGGATGAAGTAAACATGGCATATATCAAACCTTCTACTCTGCGAATTTAGTTATTTATATTTAACTAATCATTCAAGCGAATAATATGTTTTATTCGGTATTAATTATTAAGTACCCATGTATAAATATATTGGCTTAGTGTTTTTTTTATTTAGAAATTAAATTTCATATAAAAGAAAAATTAATGTTTGGTCGTTTTATTTTTTAAATGCATCAAAGTTAAAAACCTCCAGTATAAAAACAATAATATAAAATAAAACTTGGATGTGTCAAATCTGAAGAGTACGACTCACCACTAAAACCCCGCTTTCAGCTCGATGTGCTAGATCGAATTTTGTGATTTAAATTTTTCTGTTTAAAATACAATTTAAAAAATGATGGTTTGCTGTTACCTGCTACAAGTAGAAGCGTTAAGACTACACTGAGCGAACGCATTGCGGCGGTGTGGTGATACAGCGGCGGAGGGGAGTCTTGGCGAAGGACGGACGCTAGCGTTGGATTTATACAGTGCTATGTTTATTGAGGATGGGGGGGAACACAGATAGTATCGCACATATACATTCTTACATATATAGATATATATATATATATTGTAAATATAATATAAGCTGTAGTAACCATTATAATAGAGCCTTATATTTTCAGAAAATGTGCGTATGGATAAAAACATTGTTTTATAGTTTACTTCATGATTTTCGAACGTATAACTTTCTTAACTTTAATTCAATTTTTTAACAACAGCCTGATACTTAAATATTTGCAACTGACATCGTTATTGTTTATTTGTTTCATGTTTTTTTTTTTAAATAAATCTAAATTTATAGATTCGAGCATCTATTTATCTCATTTTTTACCTTCCTACCTCTATTACATAATAACAATATGGCGATCGTGTTCCGGAGGAGGAATCCCGAGGATAATCCTCGGGTTTCCTATGAAGTTGATACAAAACTCAAAACAATCTCGAAGAAAAGCCCAGGAGGGCTTAAGGACGTCAGACGGACAGATTTTTTTATTGGATTTCCGGATTCTACGTATCTTAAAACTTTAAACCTAAAATCATGAGGGGAGATCAACTTTTTTTTTCGCGGTCAATTACAAAGGTTGATTTTTGAAACTAATAAAAAAAAAATCTAACCAGTTTTATATAAGTTGTAGTAGAATGATTTTTTTTTAAAGCTGATTTTAATGTTGGTTCACGTTCCGCTCATATTACTTTAGTTAGTTTTAAAAAAAATCGTACTCTTATCATTTCTCTGATCAGTTTTCAAGAAAATGTATGTAACTCAATTTTTAATACACATATTTTCAGGAGTAATTATGACATAATGTAAAAAAAAAAAAAAAAAAAGATAGTGATTCTAAAAATGAAACAAAGAAAAATCAAATTCTGAAAAGTTGGAGAAGAAAAAAACAGAATATAGAGAGAATTTAAATAGCAAATTGGAAGAACGTAAAAATATATGGAAAATATTGTGGAACTGTTGAATAAAAACACGCATCTAAATTTCCTGGGAGAATTCCACCAAGAAAAGAAAAAGAAAATTGGTCGGTCAGAAGAGTCGTGATACAAAAATTAGAGTTATTTTCATATTTAAAAAAATGCAAATAACAGAGAAAGAATACAAATGTTTGAAAATAATAAGACTATATTACCAGGAAATATCGCAAGTAATTCGCCATGGATGAAATCATGAAAAAATGATTTTATTCTGAGACTACTGTCTCCTAAGAATAATAACAGTGCCACAAATTTATGGGTAAAAAAAATACAAACTAATTAACTGCTTATTGTTATAGCAATTGTGCAGCACATTGAAATTAAACAGTATACAGATACAAGCAATTTCACATGTTAGCGGAAGTTTGAATGTGGAGTACGTGGTGGAACAGGAGTTGTTTGTGATGATGAATGGATATGGATATGATAGATCTAGTGTAATAAGAAAAATAAATTATTATAATTCTACATTTTCTTTGCAATTGAAAATAAAAGCATAATTCATAGCAAAATAATATTGAGCGCAGAGGACTCATTTAACACATCCCATTAACAAAACTTTGTTAGGGAGATTCTTCATAAAATGAGATAGTATCATCGTTGAATAAACCACGAATGAGCAAAAGAACAAAAAAGGAGTTGTTCACTACAACGATATGAGAAATTAAATAATTAAAAAGAAAAGCTTTTCAGTATTTTGTAAAATAACGAACGTATCTATGTGTATAGGTACTAATACTTTCGTTATTAAAAAATTGGAAAAAAAAAATATTTATACTGACTTGAGCTTTTAATGGTTAATATATAACAAGTAGAATTACAAAACTTATTTTATTTTTAAAATTCATTTACTATGGAACGAAATTGACACAACTAAACGAATACTAAAATTGATAAATATTTTTTAACATTATAGAAAATTGACCTATAGATAATTGATCCACAAAAAAACATCATAAGCATTATATTTTCAATATTTTTGTTTCAATAAATGCAAAATATGTCGGAATTACTCATTTGTGTTCTTTGGTATCCAGAAAAAAATGGAAGGAATGAAGGCTAAATTAAAAGAAGAAAGCCACTGTTACCTGGCTTGCTGTGATGCACTGGATTGGACAGAATCCAATTGGATGGACCGCAATCCATCACTGCATTGGAGTCACTCCTACGACCGTCTAGAAGTACTTGGGTAATTATTCACAAATCGTTTACAGTTCTTTACGAATGCGAGACGCAAAATGATGAATAATGTTTCAAGGTTTTTGGAAATGAGTTATTATGTAAAATATTCAGTTCAAAATAAATAAGAATTGGAGGCGCCTTCCTGATGTAGAACCGTTCAAAGTGAAAAAATATATGTTTTTCATAAACAGAAATTAATGTTTCAACAGACTTTTAGCTCTTCTGGATATGATTGGACTAAATGGATAGTTGAATTTTGTACCATCGAGCTAAACCAAATCATCAATCATTTTAAATAGTTTTGTCAGAAGACTATTTCTGTCAAGTTTGTAGGCGTTTATTAGGCATGTAGGCATTTCGAGGAAATACTCTTCATCATCAGAAAGTTTTTTCCATTAATTTTAAGTCTCCGGTTATTACATATTTTTTTACATAGTCAGAAGCTATCCCCACGACTAGCAATTGGAATTCTGGATTACTTCTGTAACAGCACACTATTGTAATATGTTATTTATAATTTACGATTTGTTTACCTATCGGCTATGGAGATGGAGGTAGGACCGAGGGAAATAAAAAAAAATTAAAAATCATTTCTTTTTTTGTTCCTGTTGTAGTCGGGAAGAAGAAGTTAGTTGTTGCCAATAGTCCTGCTATTGGCAATACTACCAGATCGAGTTCACCACGAACCGTATGTAGAGGAGCTTTTACAATTGTAAATTGCCAAAGCAAGGGAATAATATCACTAATAGCAGAGTTTGGCCACTTAAAAGACCCAACGATTTTTTTTAACAAAGACAAATTCTACTTGGATTTAAAGGAAATTGTTTTTAGTTGACTATGCTCAAGTTGGTAATTATTTAAATGATGTAGATTTCTTAACTATCGCTTTCTTAAAAATAAAAAAGTCACAATTAAAAAAACATAAATTATAAATAATTTTTTTTTAAATATTATTGTAATAAATATTTTACAAACAAAAAGATAATTTTGCTTCACTAATTCAGCACAAAACATCTAAAATCATTAAAATTAAATGGACTTGTGTGAGCTTGGAACATCCTATTTTGTGTTTATTAATGTATTCTTTATTATTATTCTTATTTTATAGACTTTTTTTTAATATTTATTATTTTTGTTTTCTCATTTCTTCTAATCAGCTGTTTAATAAAACCTTCCGTATTCTTCAGTACGTTTTGGATGGCTTAGTCAGATGTCACTTGTAAATGTTTATATTTTTCTTTCTTTTCTTTTTTTTCATATATGTGATCTTGTTTTTTCTGTCCTGATTATGCCTGAATGGTCGAAACGTCGTTAATGTGAAAAATTAATTTATCTATATGTTAGAGATTCAAGGCTTTATGGTTTGATTTTTTCTTTATATATATATATATATATATATATATATATATATATATATATATATATATATATATATATATATATTCAATTATAATAATATACAGGCAATATTAGTTTCTTTTTTTTTAAATGGCTTTTATGACATGAAAAGGTTTTGTCTACAAGCAAAGGAAATGCTGTTAATAAAAAAGTTTAGAATAAATTAAACGCTTAAAAAAGACAATAAATGTTAATTTACAATTTTTATACAAACAATAACAACTTCCGTGATTGACAGATGTTGAAAAATATCCTCAGGGATTAAAGTATTGCGATATTTATGGGACGAAAGCGGCATTGAGAATTACTGTTAAAAGTGAAGCTATCCATGAATCGCTTAGTTTTATAACGGCCGTTCTTGAAATTATTTAGGGCATACGAATTACTTCAATTTCCGCGTTTTTCGAGAGGTTTTAGGACTTTAGAAATCTCTCTAAACTTAGTTGTATGTTGAAACGGAAGAATTCCGGATATAAGATCTTTTTCCCCAGTTTCCTTTTCGCCTGATGATTCTTGTGAAAGATGAGTAAATTTAACTTGTCTCCTCCTTCCCTTTCTCCTCGAAGACGTAAGAAAGCAGAGTAAAACTATTACAAAAACAATCATGCGTATTTTGAAGTGTATTTTGAATAAATGAATGATTTGAAAATCTAATGGCAGTTAGCATTTTTACCCAACTACGGTGAAAATACACGGAATGTTATATCTTTGGGTTGTCCACTAAAAGGTATGTCACGATTTTTTAATTTGATGGTTCCATTTACTCAATTGAGATTTTGTGATTGTTTGGAAATAATGTGAGGTCAAAGCTTTTATTATATTAAGTATTAACGCGCAGAGCGTTAGTTTTGTTTATTTTATACTTTTAATTAATAACTTTGTTTATTAATAATTCAGTTTCATTTCTATTAATTTTTAAAAGTTAATATAAAAAAAATAACAACAAAAAGCTAAAGAAAAACGAAATCAGCTGTTTTAATTGTTAGTTTATAGGCTCAATTGTTGTGGAGTGGATTATAGTGATTATATCATAGCTTTGCATATAAACAAGTGCTATTTTTTAAGTTTTTAAGGCCCTGGAGCCAGGGCTCAAAAATCGACCTGATCGTAGGCAAAGGTGTGAATGTAAATTACGAAAGTGTAGGTTATTCTAAGTAAAATGAAGTTTTTCTGCCGTTACAGAGCATTTGCTTTAAAAAAAAATGCGGCAGATTTAAAAAATATTAGGCCAATAACTTGAGGGTCGAAACGGGAAATTCATATAAATATCATTTCATTCTATTCAATATTTTATTATTGTTTTATTCTGAGGACTTATTTTTATTTTCATTTATCAGTCGTTCTTATTTTATTTTAGAACCAATCAAATGATTGATTTCATTGATATTGTTTCTTTTCATTATTTGTTGTTGTGGAAAAAAATTAATGCTTAGTCCAAGATTTGTTTTGGTCAATATAATACAGTCCACTATTGTTATTTTATGATTATTTTCTTTTTTTTCACACTTGTTAAATAAGCCTCATTCTAATTTTTCACGTAAAACCTTGAGGGAGCTTAGCATTAAGTATTCTCAGTTGTTTGTTGTTTTCGTACCACACCATGTATTACACTATTATTCGTGATCATATGAGCAGGATTATTTATTTCCATCCTCCCATGCCAATATAGCAATACGAATGTATTCATGCATTATTTTTCCATATTTTACATTTTTTATAACTAAAAGAACTTTTTTTTGGCCACTGAAGACGTTTATTATATATTTTTTTCATAAGCAGCATGCTAGATGAGCGATACCATAAACACCTATAAATAGTACGTACATTCAAGATAGGAAGAGATACCAATGAACAGTAAGTTTCCTCTCGCCTACATTTAGCATATTATTTAGTCCCTGGTTACCAGTGTTTCGAAAAGGTCTGAATAAAAAAAAATATAGAGTAAAATTATTCTGATTTCTATAAAAAAAGTCATTGCATGTTACAAGGGCAGAACTTAACCTAATAAGAAAATTCATGGTCGCATAAATTGAATAAACATGCCACGTTTTTAATTCTCAGTGTTTGTCAAAGCTGAATAAGTACGAGTATTTCAGTTAATTAATCTACGTAAAATTTTTTTCCCCAAAAGTTGGTTCCGATTTTCTTTTTAAAATTCGTATATAGAAATTTCTATATGAAAACGAGATAAACTAAAATATGTGAAAAATCAAGAATCACAAATGGGACACACCAGAGGGTACCAAAATCGATAAAACCAAAATTTAAGAGGCTGCGGAAAATCACGTTGAAAGCACTTCTAAATTTAGCATGCAAAATAAATGAAAATAACATAACTAAAGAAAAAGTGTTTTTTTTTTGTTTCAGAAAACAAATTCGACCTATGTTAAAACTTAGGATCACATTCTGTTTGTGGAATGAATGAGTGCATGATACTTTTCTCTAAAACGTGCCTTACGTGATCGTGTCGTTGAGCAGCCGTTTACTGCAGGGAAGATAGAAGTCCAACGTGATACAATGGAGCGCACGCCTAGCGAAGCCCTGCTATGGTTGTTGGAAAAATAACCAGGTATTGAAATATATACATATATTTGTATCGATTTATCAGAATTAAAATATGAGTATTGAAAATCGATTTTTTTAAAACAAAAAAGCAGAATAAAATTATAAATGTCTACTCAGAAATCGGCCACTGATTATTTTTAAATATGGTAACAGAGCAATATTTTTTTTTTTTTTTTTTTTTTTTTTTAATGAAAATTTAAATTCTTTTGATATGATGGGTGATAAATATTCAGGAAGCCATCATTATAAAGTTTTTATTAGTGCCGACGTGTCAACCCTAACATGTGGGTCATCAGGCAAGGGGTGTTTGGAGCACTGATGATAACCCACATGTCTGGGTTGAAACGTCAGCACTAATAAAAACTTTATAATGATGGCTTCCTGAATATTTATCACCCATGATATGTGGAACAGTCGACTAACTTCCTTCAACAATTCTTTTTATATGATTCTTTTTTTTTTTTCTGTTGGCATTACAGATCTTTTATCGCCTTAACCAGTCTTCTTCAGCTTTCCCTATCTTGGGGTATTTCTTTCGAATTATGTGCATGCAGCTATATAGGAGCTGCGTTAATTTGATCAATCCATCTGGTTTTTAGCCTTCCATCTGTTCTCCTGCCTAATATTAAGTATAGGCTTCATCATGGATTTCTCCGAGCTATATCCCATCTTGACCTCCTCACCTTAATATCATGAGATATAAAAGGTGCTTTAAGCAGTTCTTTATTGGTCCTTCTCCCCCATGCATTACTAATCTGATCTCAGATCACTCCAGTTATCTTGCAGAGAATTCTTGTCTTAATTCGTTCTGATTTGAGGTTATTCACTATTACAATACAAAAAACTTGTTAGAAATTTAAGTCGATATTTCTTTTATGAGTTAGCATACATTTCGATCCAAACATGCAGGTAATCATCAGAGCTTTACTTTGCTAGGATCTGGCAGTCATGACAAGAATTCAACTTTTTTTTTTAATCTCATATGTATTATTATTTTTTTCTGTCTCCCACTTCTGATTTTCCTCTTTTTTGTAATCTACCATTTATAAATAGTAATTATCGACAGATTGATTTTTACTTTTCTCCATTAATTGGAGCTTTTGCTTAATACTTGTACCCTATAAATAGCTTAATTTCGTTGTAAATTAGTTATATTGGAATAATTTTGATGTCTTAAAGCTTTGGAAGAAAGGGGGAAAAATCCCAACCCAACAAGTTGACTGGGAGATAGTAACACATCTCTGAGAACATGATCATTGAAGTTCTGTCCTGCGATCCATGGTCATCCAAAGGATCTGGTTCAGGCCTTATTCTGTACTTAATGTGGATCATCATACTATAAATGCCAGAATGGAAGTAAACAAAATTGATTTTTGCCAACTTTTCAGATCAAATAATTTACTGTGTGTCAGGGTTCCCGAAGAAGAAAGATATTCAGTAAATGATGTGATTAAATAAGAACTTTAAAAAACATTATTTTTGTGTTTCAATATAGGTATAAAGTTATGCATGAAAATGATATTATTTAGTATTCACAGATATTATAGAAATATCAAAACAATTCACCCTCTTTAGTTGTATGTGAAATTTCTTCCTTTAAAAAATAATTTTATAGAATACACCAGTGGGTGTCATGGAGTGATGTTCAATTTGCTGTCCTTGTCTATACTGATGAAGCCTGAATTGGAGAAACGTTGACAGGCTTTTTTTTTCTTTGTCCGCATTTTCGAAACATAAGAGTTTGTGGTTGGAATTTTTCCAATTATAACCTAATAATTTTATATTTTTACTTTAAATCTTTCTTTTGTAAGAATCAGTGTTTCAATTGAATAATATATTTTTTAAACAAATAAGAACAAGAATTTTTTTTTTATTCCTCAAATGTTTAATGAAAAGTTACAACGTTTTTAGATAGAGCTCGTCACTTGACAGATTTTGTCCAGAGTAAATTTCAAGCAATATGTCAAAACGAGGGCATTGCCGAATACTAATAACAAAATTATAGAACTGACTTCCTAATCTTTCTTAACCAAATTCAATTTTTTTTTTACAATAAAAGAGTCCAAAAATAAGCTCATTCATTTATCATATTTGTATTAATATATTTTTTTTAATTTAGTTATTAACAAAGAAATCTAGATTGGATTTTTATTGATTTAAAAAATATATTCTTGAAATGTGCATTTTACAAAAACAATCAATAGTGTCTGTATTGATTTGCAATCACCGAATATGCTATAATATGCATGAAATGTTTTTGACAATAATAAAAATGTCTGTAAAGGATTATTATAGTAGGTATGTTTAAACATAAGCTTGTTTTATACACACACACACATATATATATATATATATATATAATTTATTTTACCACCCATGGTACTCACAACCATTTATTTATATGGCAACAGGCTCAGTACATTGACAGATATACCATATGATATTGGAACATAACTATTTAAAAACACAAAAAGGAAAACAGAAACATAAAGGAATTGGTTAAACATGCATGAACAGTGAATATTTGACATTGTCCATTAGACCATCCTTTGGTCATAGTCAGTTTCACTTGGGAATACAAACAGTTAAAATGAAAAAATGTAAATGCTATAGTTGTTTTTGTTTTTTTAAACTTTATTCATTTAAAAGTTTCATATACATTGTGCATCTAACCTAATATATTCAATGAACTCTTAAGAAAATCAACTTTGCTCTGAAATCCACTCCTGAAGCCCCATCTCTCAACTCTACGTGTATTTAATCGCTGTACATTCCTGTAGGTGCTTGTGACATCGTCAGGGAAGTTACCCTTTATTGCATCAACCTGAAATAAAAGTGTATATTTTCAGCATTATCTGGTCAAACGTCAAAAGTAAGAGAATTTTTCTTTCTAATATTGTGTTATTACCCCTATTATTAACTATAATGAAGATATTATATGATTATATAGCTGGTTTATTTATAGTCCATAATAGCAAGAAAACAATTAAGACAATAACATAGGACAGGTGAAATGTATTTTTAATAAATTAAATAAACATATATTTTTATATGGGGCTGGCATAGCCGAGTGGTTAGTGCGCTATACTACTAAAGCAAAATAGAATCGAATTCCAGCCTTACTTCCCAATACGGCTGGTCCCTGCGGGAAGTTAGACCATTAGCCTCTTAATTAGGGGAGGGCTATAGGTATGATACTTGTAAGAACAGGATAAAAAAAAATAATATAAAATATAATAAGAAATGTCATTATTAGTAATAAAATAAAAAATAAATGTTATTTCTTCTTTTTCTCTTCCATTGACTGGTCTATTTTCTGATTTAATTTTAAACAGAAAATATAAGAGACAATATTATTATGGGAAAACATTAACAAAAAATATTGTTAGGGATAGGGTTATGGCCTTTTAACTTTAAAATGGAGTGTTATAAATTGGGATGGCAATTAAGCAATGTTTGTTGTGACAACGTTTTCTTTTAGTGAGTTAGGTGGAAATCATATATACCGGCTCAGATTTTGTGGAGAACCAAAAATATATTAAAAGATTCAAAAATGTAGAAAGAATATTATGAAGGAAGTGAAGCTGAGTGATCCAATGAAATTTTGTATACAAAATAAGAGAAATGTGGCTATTTAATGGTGTTTAAAACATGAAAGAGTAAGAGAAACGTCTACAATATGAAATCCTGGGAAGGAATCTCTGGCTAGAGCTGAAGTCTATGACAATAGTATAAGACTTTGATGAATATTCAATTAAATTTATTATCCATGGCAGCATATCATGTTTTGATCTATTACTATTATTAAAATAGATTATTTTAGAAGTAGTTTCTTTCTAGTGCTAGTGACAAAATTAAGCTTGACCGTCCTGTATTTATTCCTGAATTTATTCCAACCCTGCATTGGAAAAGACAAGGGGATAACCTTGTAGGTCTCATTTTTAACTTTGGAAATGCAAATCAGGAATCATGGAAATCAGAAATCACCAAAAGGGTGGCACCATTTACACTAGATAGACTAGATTCTAGAATTTACTAACAATTTTTGACATTACAGCCCAATTAGGGAGAACAGTAATAAAGATTTTATAGCTTTAGAATGTTCCACCAGAGAGTATGGGTTAGTGGTAAACAAACAAAATAAATTTGTGCAGATTCTAAAACAGAAAATTAGAGATCTCTCCTGGAAATTGATTCTTATAAATTAAAACAAGTGAATCCCGTTATTTATTTGGGAACAGAACCAAATTCTAAGAATGATATGTCCTAGAAGATAGGTAGAAGGATAACAGTAGCCTGGTGTTGTTTTAGAATGGCAAACCACTTCAAAATTATTTCCATCAAACCTGGAAAGTTAGAAGATCCAAAGTAAGGTGGCTGGGCGTTAATTGATAACAAACTGCTACTAAACACCAGGAATTGGACATCTGTGGCTCAAGAAAGAGGTCATCTGGTAGAGGTCTAGACTCATGATTAAACCATCTAGGAGCATATTGTAATTGCTTAATTTATTTACAATTCATTTTTTTTTTTTTTATAAAATAGATTTAATTAATTTTACTGATTGTGTTAACTGTTAACCTTACTTCTTGTAGATTTTTTCCTACCTATCGACCTCTCATTGTTTGTTTCTTTACTTACTAACATTACCTTTTCTGTTATTTTTTATTTTAAGAGGAGGGAGGGAATATGACAAGTCTCAATTCTTCATATCTGAAAATTACTATACAGCCCATTACTGCTTATTTGTATACATTTACTATAATTTTAACATCATACTCACTTGTTGTTGAGAGATTGGCAAACTATTTTTAAAAACAGTCCAAACTACAGCTTCAGAACATGGTGGTGTTGTCAAGGAGCCTTGATAACGATAGAAGTCCAAGTTACGAGGTAAGAAGTCTCTGAACCTAAGCTTAACTTGTTCCCCATTAGCTCCTTGTAATACCTGTTCTAAGTTAGAGTTTGCAGTAGCTTCCTGTAATTAAAAAAAAATAATATAACTGAATATTGAATTGCATAGATGATAACCATTATTTAAGTTAATCAACATCATTATGATGACATAATAGTTACTTAAATATGATTATATGTTATTTCAAAAGATTATAGATATACATTTTTACAATAAATTTTAATCCCTAAGCTGGTATTTTCATTTTCAGTTGATAAAATTGTTTTTTAAAGTTATGTAATCCATTTTGAGCTTAAAGAGGATGATATCCAAACTACTTACTTGTTTCCCCACTACCTTATCTATCAGTGCCAAGTGTTTGACAATGGTAACATATCACAACAAAAAAGCTTAACAATACCATCCCTCCTATTTAACATACAAGTCATTTTCATATTTTCAAATCTTTATTCCCAATCATGACCGTCTGCCTGGGGCAGATTCTTTTCTTTCTCGACTGATATAGGCTGGATATTTTGCAGTTTACTACCCATACGAGTGCTTTGTTCTATGTCTAGCGTTACCAGCTGAGAGAACTCTTCTTTAATTAGGGTGTAGATCCCTGTTTCCTTCAACTTTGGCCTAGAGTTTTTCCATGAATATCAAGTATTTATTTCCATGAATAAATAGTTCATGAGCTTTTCATGTCTTGAAAATTCACTTGCCCTGCATGATCTAGGCAATTACTAAATACTTTAGATGTATTCCCACTGATGTATTTAAAGATGTTTGGCAGTTTTTTAAATGGAAATTTTTTAAAATATCTAATAAAGCTGAAATGTTAAAAAATTAATTTTTTTTTTTTTAATGTTAACATTAATTTTTTTCTTAGTGAAATATGTCAGTGAGATTATTCTGGTTTTTAATCTTAATCTATTTTGATTACATTTATAAATTAACATTTAAATTTAAAGTTAAAAATATATTACACAGTATAAAGTTCCAAGAACAGCGATTCCTTCAGGATCATTTGTTGCAGCATCTGTGCGGTTGCCATAGATTTCTCTATAATGGACCAAGTGAGCTTCTAAGGCGTATCTAAAACAAAAAATATCTTTTTTATTTATTTATTATTCTGTATTGTTGTATCATCATAAATGCAATTACTATAATTCTAAATAAATTTTGTTTATTCAATTTGTTTTCATATTTTATCAGTTTATATTAATATTCATCAAATTTATAATGATTATTATAATATTAATCAGCATTGCTAATGAGACATTAGAAATTAAATTAGTAGATTAAATGACTCTATAAAATTTTATGATTTACTTTTTTTGGTAGTGTCACTGAGAAACTGAGTGAAAGAAGTTTTTATCTACATAACCATGTAGAAAGTAGAGTTTTTCACTTATTATATTAATTAACTTATAGTTGTAATAATTTCAAACTATGATTTTTTTAAAATATTAATAATTTTCGGGTGATCTAAAAGATCTTCATTACCACCATCACCCATTTTAAGCTATAATCCTTATCCTCATTATTTTTTACTTTTATTTTATATCAATGATTTTCAGAATATACAGTGGGTCAAAAAAGTATTGGTACACAACTTTTTTCATGTTTCATTGTAAAAAAATCCGAAATTGATTTGCTAAAGATTTTTATTTAATAAAAGATCTAGAAAAATACATAATAGGGATAAAAAAAAAAATTTATAAATTTATTTAATTACAAAATGCAGTAAACAAAAAATCACTTCAATGCGGTCAAAAAAGTATTGGCACACTTTAATTTGAGGTTTATTTCACAAACTGGATATTTATTAATATTTTGTCATCATACTATTGGCATTTATGATATCTTGGAATCTTCTTGGTGTCTACAAAACAAAATTTTGAGTTATATCTTGTCCAATTTTACGACATTCTTCTGACAATATTTCTTTTAAATAATTTTTGAAGAAATTTTATTTTTCATAGTTTCAAATCCAACATGTACCATAGGTGCTCTATGGTATTTATGTCGGGAGACTGTGGTGGTATTTTCACTTGGCTGGGGACATTGTACATTTTCCATTATTTTGTTTTATTTGGTTTGTGCTTGGGGTAATAGTCCTCTTGGAAGAAGGGGCGGGGTGGCCGAATAGGCTAAAGCGTGTGCACTGCACCGCGAGTCGCCTGGCAACCAGACATGAAGATTTGAGAGAAAAGAAAAGTAAGAGTTCGCATCCCGGTGCCAGAGGGGATTTTAAATTCCCCGCCCCCACCGCGAGGTAGGGAAGAACAAAAAAAAAAAAAAAAATGTCCTCTTGGAAGATAAATGCATTTTTGACCATCAGATTTTGTCGACATATTGTTCGGCATTCATAATATTGTCAATAAAAGTTAAATTTCCAGCATCATTCCATGACACGCACTCCCATACCTGGGCACTTCCACCTCGATGTTTACAAGAGGTCTCACATGTCGAATTTGAAACTCAGTGTCAAATTTCTAACAAATGAACTTGAGGCCATTAGACTGGAATATATTAGACTTACTTCCATCTGAAAAGAACATTTTTCTAGAATTCTAGATCTTTATTAAATTATCTTTTGACAAAAGCAAGTATTTTTTTGCAATTCACCACTGTAATAAAAGGATTTTTCTTTGGTACTTGTCATAATAACAATATTTATGAATTATATTACTAACAGATGGTGGTAATTGAAGTAAATGCTCTTTAGTAAATACTCTTTTGCTATCTCAGCGATAAAGTGTCATTCTGCTCAACAATTCGATGGATATTCCTTTTTGTCCTCTTATTAAATTTTGATGGCCTCTCTGAACAGCGTATGTTTACAATTTCTAAGGTTTTTGTGCAATATTTTGAACATTACTAAAACCAATTTCTAATTTATTCAATATTTATCGGTAGTTAAATCCATTGTAATGTAATTTAATGATGTATTTTTTTTAAAGTGACACAACATTCACTGATTTCACTCATTTTATTTTGAAAAATACACAGCAAAGACTGATTTCTATTATTTTCATTGTACTATCATCAATCCTCATTTCTAATTTCTTGAAAGAAAAACTATTAATTTGTTTTGACTGCAGCTAATAGTAAACATTCAAAACTGTGGCAATACTTTTTTGATCCTCATAATTTACTCTTTATGTTTACTTTAAACATAGCTTTAGAATTCTGAACATTCACTGCTTCTAAAATATAATTCTCACGTTGTTATATAAATATTTTTTCAGGAAAATATCTTAATTCTATTGAGGTTAGTAAAAAACTTGGAGTGTGTTAAATGTTACATCAGTGATTGCATTATTAGCATATAAAATACTATAATAAGATAAATTATTGTGACTGTTATTTTCTTCTTGTTACTAATATTTATTGATTAGTGAAATTAGTGAATATAATGAACTTTTACCACTATATTTCTTAAACAAAATAACTCATGATTTTATTTGTTTATTTTTTTTTAATATTAAATACCTCTTAGTATCAATGAGATGTTCAGATCCATAATGAAAGTGGGCTGATTGCAGGACATAATTACCACGAAGGCCTCCTCCAGAAATAGCGATTCTGACACTTGGATCTGGATCAATCCTTACTACAACAGATAACCACCTCATTGTTAGTAATACACATTAATACATAAATAAAATTAACAAAACCTATAATTATTATTAAATTAATTTTTACAATATTATTCATAATAATTATAACCCTGTAATTTACAATCAACAACATATTGACTCGGATGAAGTGGCTTTAATAGTCTATCATAAAAATGATTTCATAGTACATAAAATGATTTCATGTTGCTTCTAATAAACCAATGATCGTGAAGATGAAGAAAACAAAATAACCGTTTTTCAACCAAATATTTGTCCTATTGATATAAAATACAATAACACTCAAAGTATAGTCCATTGTTATCTACCATTATTAACCATCTGCTAGCCAATTGCTCGATCACACGCTGATATCATTCTTTGGGATGGTTTTCAAAGAACTCTTGGACCGCAATTTCAATTTCCGCAAATTTATCAATTTTTTCCCCTTGAAGAAAACGGGCCATGGATCTAAATAAGTAATAATCCGACGGTGCGAGGTCTGGACTATATGGTGGATGAGGCAGGAGTTCCAACCCGTGAAGTTCTTTAAACGGGAAGGGTGAGGACGGACATTATCTTGTTGGAATAAAATTCCTTTTCGGTTGAACAAAGCAGAATAACGCTCTGACCACTTCGGGTACAATCGTTCCAGTTGTTCGCAGTAGAGTTCAGAATTCATAGAGCATTTATCAGGAACGAATTCGTTATGAATAAAGGCGGAATTTTACTGAGGCAACATGTAGCATGCGGCATTGACACATGCTATTCAGTCTTTCCATAGAAGGAACACAACGCGGCAAAAAATATGTCTGCTTGCTGAATGCCATGAAAAGAATGGCTCATCTCCTAGCAAAACGGGAAATGATTTGGTTATGAGCTACTGAATTTTGATTGGACTTTGATGTACCCAAATCAATATTGTCAACTGCTGAGTGTTTAGGTGATGGCACGATGATGAAGATCAGTGATACACTTGCTAACAACCCAAATAGTCCGAGAGTCCACGAGAAAAAATCTACATTATTTGATGATAACTTTGAAACAATTTTTTAAATATTTATAACATCTTTATTTTAAAAAATGAGAGTTTGCAAGTCGGATCATACTTCTTGTAAAAATAGTGACTGATGAATTTTGGGCCAGTAACTTGAGAATCGAAACGGGATATTCATTGTGAAAAATATGAGAAAAGTTTTATTTTTTTAACTTGTATATATTGGTCGGGACATGTAACAGACAAAATTCCTGACGCGGAACACCAAGGAAAAAAAAACAGCCTAAAAAGTCAGATTATTTCAAACTTTTTTTGTTTTATCACCTATAGTTCCTAAACGGTGAAACAAAGCGAAAACCCCTTTCTTTCATAAATTAAATATAATTAAATTGTGCGTCGAACGAGTACCTAAACTTAATAATTTGGTTACGTGGTATGTTCGTTAACCACGGTCAACGCACGCCGATTTTTACCAAATTCTTCAAATACAGAAAATTTACTATAAATGGAGCTGCAGCTTGGGAATGAGTCCTCTAGAAAAACTCATAGAATCAAAGTTGTAGAGCTTGACATTTTGCTGAATGCAATCGCTTTAGTCGCAAACAAATCTACAAAGCTCATGCGATGTGGGGTAACAAATTCCGCATGCAACATCAATTAAATTTTGTGCCATATAGTCGTACGGATACAATAGACAACACAAGGAAACAAGTATCAAGCAACATGTTGTCCCATGTTGCCTCAGTGGAATTCCGCTTTAACACCTTCAAAATTCCAAACAACGCAAAGCATGATTTTTTTCTTTTAAATCGCCCCCTTGTAGAAAACGAAAAAGCAGTTCGACCGCGATCTAGCCATTGCTCACGGGTATTTGCATTTCGCCAGTAAACCCACTTTTCATCACAAGTGACAATCTTCCGGTAAAATCTCATATCAGAAGGGTTTTGCAATATATTTTCACAAGTTTCTAACCTCTTAGCTGATTGCTGAGGAGTAAGTTCTGGAGAGTAGATGGTGACTAACAATATCTTTCGACACACCACACTCCCCGGTAAGTTCGCGAGTGCTTGTGGACGGATTTGACTCAACAACTTCCTGCAGAACCTCATGAATATCGATTAATGGTCGCCAGGAGTACTTCTTCCTTTCCAATGTCGTATCTCTACTGCTAAACTTTTCAATCCAATGCACCGTAGTGCGCTGGTCAAGGACACCTTCTCTTTCGTATTTAATAAACCCACGAGTTGCTTTAGCGGCTGTGATTTTCTTTTCCAGTAAAGCCTTAATATTACGCGAATTTCGTAGGACACTGTCATGTTTCTTCTTTGAAACAAATAACTAAACTGAGGCTTTTTTTGAAACATTCAAATGGAATTAAACAAACTTAGAGAATGCTCTACAGGAATTATAGTTTTTATGAGTATTTAATAGGTTTAAATTATTTATAGTCCTTTGAAATCTTGAATTGGTAAAATGGTCATTTTTTTTTATAACCTATTATTATCAAAAGTAAGCAACTTTACAAAATTCTGTATCGTCATATTTAGAGCATTCTATAAAAATAAGAAACTTGGCCAACAAAGACCTATTATAAAATTTAAAACGTATTTTTTCTTTGCCTTAAAGAACTGCAACCCGTATTTCTCATTTACTAAAACGTATTTCTCACAACTAATGAGAACAATTTGGCTTTAAAGTGTAATATAATATAAGAAAGAGTTTAAATAACCTTTGTATTTCTGAATTGTAATTGTAATAAATTTATTATAAGAATAAATATGTATTCTACAATATTTAATTAATCAATAATATTGAATCTAAAGACAAATTAATTTAAACAAAAATTTTATTTGAAAACTCGTGAATAATACAATGGCCACCCTGCACATCAGCAACCCAATAACACAATAAATAAATAATGCAACTTACGAAATGTTAAACTTGTATCATTGTTGGTTACTTAATGATTATCTACTCAAATGACTAAATTAGTTATTTATTTCCTTGCTAAGAAGTGTATACCTATTTCATAATTTAATGTTATTGAAATAGTAATCTTCTTGGTTGACCTATGTACATATCTAGCATCGATTCATTATAATTCTAAATAATTATAAAATAAGATAAATTGTAAAAGTCAGATTAAATAATTTGTTTTGCATTGCCCTTTCCAATTCCAAATACTAAGACCCGCATTACCTGAGTGTTATACACTAACGTTCGTAGTAGTAGCAGCAGAAAATTTCATTTATTTATTAAATATATTGTCATGCCATAAAAAATCAACATTGAACATTTCGAACCTTGACTGGCTTGTTTCAAATTTAACATGATTTTTGCTACGTCATTTACATTCTCTAAGTACATTAAAAATTTATTTTTCTCTTAGTGTTTTAATATTTCTTTAGAATGCTCGTAAATTGGCATACTAATTGGGGAAACTAGTCCGACAAATGGGCCTATCGTGATCCTTTTTGCCAACCCATGACGACGGCTACCTTGCGGTTGCCGCCGCCTACTTACCTGAGTGGGAATGTCACGATCCATCTCCCTCCCAGGGCCGCCGAGAAATGAAAAATAACCGACCCAGGTGAGAATCGAACCCACAACGTTCAGAACCGGGCAGTCTGGGACCCACACACCAACGTGCTCGGCCATCCTGTCCTCTGAGGAGGGTTATAGAGCGTTTTAAAACTGATTATTTGTGTTTTCATTTAATATATATGTATAAAGTATTTGTTTTATCTGTTTTCGATTTTTTTTTTCAAACTTTATTTCTTTATCTGTCAGAAGTATTGACAATTAGCGAGTCTGCTGCGGAAAGAATACTGGTAGTGGCTTGATCGGCGTGGGGGAGAGGAGTGCCCAGCTGTATCTCTTCCTAACTTGATATTGCTAAGAAAGAAAATCCCTCATCCAGCTTTTTTTTGAGCATCCTAAGCATGTTCTCGGGCCTGTTTATCGATGCCATGTCTTGTATGAGTGTGTTAGTATGTCCATGTGAATTGTCGTGAAATTTTTTCTAGTGTATCCATCATATACGGATGTTTGTGACGTACCATGGGGCTTTAGTTATAGCCCTTAAATATTTTGACTGGAAGGTTTGTAGTTTTCGTATGCGGGTCGTTTTGGCTGTTCCGTGTATTTGTGAAGCGTTGGTCCATATAAGCTTTAGTAGATAAATATAAGTGTTCAGTTACTGTTTTAATTTTTTTTGTAATTAATTTTGAGTGTCTTGAAAGAAGTGAGTTTAATCTTAATTAATCTAGTCTGAGGTTTAACGTTTTCCTTTTTTTGTTGATATGTGGACCCCATGTCATTCTTCTGTCGAATGTCAGTCCAAAATATTGTATTTTATCTGTTTGTGGAATTTCTGCATTGCCAAGGTAAATATCGGGGACAGAATTTTTGATTTTGGGACATTGTTTGGACTAGTTAGGAGATAAACATTATAAAAGTCGCCACTCCTAGATGGTGAACCAGATATGAGGAGGAGCCCCTAGAAAGTCACTTTTTTCGGATTTTCGCTTATAGAAAAGTATTCGCTTAGTAAAAAGTATTTTGTTCCAAACTAACAATAGTTGAGGACGGATATCTCGGAAATTAAGCTAGATAGCGTAAAAAGGTATTTAATTAATCATATTGCAAATTTTATCAGCTTTAATTATTGTATAAAGCGTCGTTGTCGATGTGATGGATACTTTTCTTGATTAAGCGAAAAACCGAAAAAGTGACCTTCCAGGTCCCTAGGACCCTCCCCTCCATCTCTCCACACATACTAGTCCAAACAATGTCCCAAAATCAAAAATGGTGTCCCCGCCATTTCTTTCTATAATCATTCATTGACTGGACCACTAGCGGATCCAAGATTTTGGTTTGGGGGGGAGGGGCTTCAGCCCGAAAAATTATTTGCAAAAATATATAATGATATTTACTTAAGAAGAATAGGAAATAAACTAATTATCTACATGAAATAGAGCTTAAGTGATTCTTCAAGTAGTATTAACTGTAATTACACGAACAATAATACTTTTAGAGTTAATTTTTTTTTTCATAAGACATTGTTGTATTTTACCATTTTGGGGTGTTTCATTCTGTTTGTAGTTAAAAAAATGTTGAATGTTCTTTTAAAAAATAATCAAGAAAAAAAAGATTTAAACTAAATTTTTGATATGTTGAGTGGGTATAACTAACGAACCAAAAATGAAGTAAACTGCTAACATGGAGGTTAAAAATTTATTGTTCTTTGGGCGATATTACATGTACAACTCTATTGTTCAATTGTATTCAAATTAAATAAAATAACATAGTTTTTACATATAAATAATAATTTATAAATAAATATTATCATACTTACTTGTGAAGTGGTGTTGATCAACGGTCACTGTAACTGGTACTTCTTGGTCGTAGTTGCTGAGTCTCAAGGGTAGCCCTGCGAACCTGGGGATAGTCCATCTGCTTAGGATGTTGATTGGCGATTGCCTAATTCCAGTTTGACAAACTCCTTCCCAATCTGTTGATTAATTAATAAATATTGGTTAATTTAATTTAATTACTTATTTACGAACCAACAGAACGGTTTCTCCCGGTTCAATGAAAGATACAAAGACTCCTGTCACAAATATTGCCCGTACCTATTCCTATTCCTTAAAATGCCCTCGGGCAACAGAAGGACCAAGCAAGAAGAAATATATTTGTTCATTGTATACTTATATATTGTAATTTGTTTAAGGTCAAATAAAGAAGGATTAGAAAAAGAGAAATTAATTAATTATTAAGTTCCAGTAAAAATTATTGAAAAATAATCTACCGTTACAATTTAAAAATTAGATTAGCCGTATGTAAGAATGATCCATGATATATTAAAGATATTATACTTCTGAAACTAAAGTCATATTTTTAATAACATAAAATATACAAATATCATCTTTTGCGTTTCAACAAAGCGCCACCATACTTGTTCCAACTTTATAAATAATTTGAAAGACATTAGAATGATTGAATTTCTATAAACGAAAATTTTTAAATCTATCACGGTTTTGTCCTTTCAAATCTCATTCAATGTATGCATGTATTATTATTATTTTTATTTTTTATCTTTAATCCTAAAATATTATACTTTCTTCTTAGAAATAGCTCTTTTATTGTATAAATTCATTTTAAGTTTTAACTTTAATTATTAAATTTTTAGAAAATGATAATCTGAAAAATTGTTCACTAATGGAGTCATATTTTTCTTGTGTTTACTTTATACTCAAAATCAATTAAACTTCATATTGAAACCATTGTTACCAACATATCTAGCACGTTCTCAAGGAATAAATATGTTCCTGAGAAATAGAAAAAATGGGGAGTAGAAGTTTCACTGATAGCTATATATAATTCTATGACGTATGCAAAGATATTTAGTGTTGATTTATTTACTTTATGTTATTCTAAAAAATGCGTATGGTCTCCTCGCCAAATCAATTGTTTGACTTTTACAAAAAGCTTTAAAGGGTTTTCGGAGAAATGTATGCAGTACAATTAGAAATGCTGTACTTAATTAAGAATAATATTTCGTGTTTAATAGCTGTTAGCTTTATTTGACTGTTATCTAACTGTTACTAACATATCAATATTGTAAATCAATAAAAATATATAAACTTAGTTATGTACAAATTAATATGTTTACTTGTACTTAATTGATTTTAATTTTAAGGTTAGGTTATGATGTTATGTTAAGTATTTATTTTTTTATAATGGCAGACATGTTTCATCTTTTTGTTCATTATAATTACTCTAAATGTCCCAGAATAAAATTTACTTTTCTTCTTTCTTTTTCTTTTTCTACAAAAGCAAATTTAGTCCGACTCCGGTACCTCCTTCTAATAAATTGTCTTTGTGGCTCGAAAATGTTTCTCCATTACTACGAGAGCTTGAATATTTCCAGTTTTCGCTGTTATTCTTTGCAAACACTGAATTGTGAATTTTCCTTTTCAAAAACTTTTTATTATAATATTTTTAACAGTTGAATCATAATAATAAATGTATATGATTTTCTTACCATCTCCTTTGCGTGTGTAATTCCAATTCTCTTGGCTTTTGACAGCTGAAAAAAAAAATCGACCTGTTACTACTAAATACAAAAATAAGAATTCCAAACTTAAAAAGAAATTGAAAAAACAAATAATAATATAACAGCTTAACATGTAACTGCAATAAAGTAAAGGAAAATCACTTAAAAAATTATTATATACGAGTTTATATGAAAAAGTATATTGAAATAAAACTTCCAAATAAAAAAAAACTTCCAAATGATTTAAAACATTTCGAAAACACGTTTCATCAAGTACTTGATATCGTCAGTGATAATTCATTTCAATCTTATGTGATTTTTATTTTAAACATTTTTTATAATTTAAAAAAAAGTTACGAAAAAAATGTTCAATAAGTATCATTAATGTATTTTAAATACTATATATAGGAAAAATTTATATTTTGTGAAGCACATATTACAGGGGTCTGGCAGGAAAATTACAGGTTAAAGATTAATAATATGCTACTAATACAATACATCATAAACGTACCACACATTAAAACAGTAAATAAATAGGTAACAATATAAAGTAGAGCATGAAAGATATTTACTATATATTTATAATTTTTTTTTAGTATTTATTATTCATCGCTAAAACGACCCACCTACAAAAACTTCAAACGTTCCTCATGACTCATAACAAAAGCACCTTGGTACGTGACTAACAAAACTCTACATACTGACCTCCACTTTCCAACAGTTGACCAACCTATAACGACCCTATATCAACGATTTTACACAAATTTAAATGGACATAATAACAGACTTATAAGAGACATGGCCACATCTGACATACCTCAGAACATGAGCAGGAGACTAAAAAGGCGTTGGATGAGGGATCTACTTCCTTAGACAACCTAAGTAATTGGAACAAGTTAGGGAAGAGGTACTGCTGATTACTTTCCTTGCCCTTGCCATACAAAAAAAAGTATTTGTATAAAATTGACATAGTATAAAATGTTCACAATATAAAATATTTACTGTGAAATTTAAAACAGAAATTCAGAGCACAAGAAAATATTCATAGTTTAAGTATAATTAATATTAAAATAAGGTTACAAAATGGGATCCCATTACAGAAGCCAATGAGGAGCCTCTTTATTGTAATGAATAATGAATATATTTGTATATACTATTTCAAGAAACCACAAAATTAAGGACTGAATATGACTAATTGTAAGTGTACTTAAAGTGTACTTAGCGTTAAATTAGAATAACAATTCGAGGGTTAAAGTAATATTTAGTAAAAATTAAATATTAAGAGGAGACAAAAAAAAAATTTGGTGTGTCCACTCCTACCTATTTCACAAAAGTTTTTATGTCTTTAAATTTGTCCATTAAGAAACAAAAAACAATTGAATTAGATTTATTTTTCTGAAAATTGATCAAAAAAAAAGATTTGAGTACGATTTCTTTGATAAAACTGAAGCGATGTAAAATGGCTTGTGGTAGATCAGTGTGAAAATTTCAATACCCTCTAATATTGTTAATCAAACACTTTTTGGCCTAGCCTAATATTTTCACACAATAATTTCCGTTAAAAGTAGTGGAAATAGTGAAGCTTGTGTGATGCGAGTAACAGAGTTTTTTCCTTTCATTTACTTTTATTTTTTCTCTCCCATTCACCCTTTCTGACATCAGGATATTAATCCGTAATCTTGCATACGAAGTTGAATAGCTGTAACTTCGTTAATAGTTGTCTGAAAAGAACGATTTTTATATATCTTTGTAGGAGATTTCGTTACCATTAAAAAAAAAAACAGTATAAATACCTTTCGGACTCAGGGTTCTGAATCGTATAGATCCGTCGAAAACCGCATATCGGAAATTTGATCTAATCGCAATAATTTCCTTGCCTAGTATAGGTAGGAAAGTAATAAAGTAAAACTTGTAGAAAAAAGAACATAATGCGCTATTTCATCGCTAATACTGGTTCGATTCCGATGATTTTTTTTTTGTTGGTAAATTAATTACCTTTCAAAAGCTATATTATAAATTTTACTATAGAATATATACTGAGCGAGTTGGGCCCCAAAACATTTTTTTTTCTTTATAACTTTTTTCCTAAAAATGTGTTGTTCTGACTCTGAGGAGGCTCTGAAACGTATAGACCTGTCGAAAATCGCATATCGGAAATTTGACCCAATCGCAATACTTTCCTTACCTAGTATAGGTAGGAAAGTAAAAATTGTTATAGAAGCGATCTGCTTTAAAGGACACTAACCAACTAAGCCACCAAGAAAACGCAATCAAGCATGGTACGAGGGTACTGTCCTTGGCATGCAAAAAAAAAGCATTGAAAATAGCTTCCATCTATTGTCCTCCAAGATATGTGCTGACATCTTCGATGTTTTGCGACTTCTTCCAAAGCTTAGGTCGATGTTTCATAGCAGGTGGTGACTTCAACGCAAAGCACCAACATTGGGGGTCACGACTATGCACACCAAGAGGAAGAAATTTGAGGGCTGCTATCCACGAGCTTTCATTAGACACTATAAATCCTGACACACCTGTATCGAGACTCAAATCCCCGGCCCTTTTGGACTTCTTTATTAAAAAGGACTGCGTACTGTACCTCATTCCATAAGTACGAGCTCTGATCTTTGCTCTGATCATTCAGCGGTACACCTTATAGTACTCGATGAGGCCGTCAACGTGCAAAAAATACCAGCTCTCATCAAAGGACCAATTGACTGGGATGCATATAGAGAGTTTTTAAATTCTTCGCTTTTGATCCCAGTGTCCATAAAAGGTGAAAAAGAACTAGAGGAGACTGTGGAAACATTCACCAAAAATATTCAACAAGCTGCTTGGACATCATCAATACCAAAATTCAACTCTGCGACAACTGAGCACTTGCCGAAATATCCACAGTACATAAGGGACTTTATCAGAGCAAAGAGAAGAGCGCGTAAAATATGGCAGACTGACAGACACCCTTCAGATAGACAGACATTTAACCGACTAAACAATCAACTTAAAAGAGAAATCCAAAAATTTAACAGAACTAACTATGACGCATACATCAGTAGTCTTTCGACTGACGATGGGAGCTTGTGGAAGCATACCAAAAAGTTGTTAAAGCACCGAGAGCTGTCAGCACCACTTAGAAAAGAAGATGAATCCTGGGCCGTGTAGGATGAGGAAAAATCTGAACTCTTCGCTCACCACCTTTCTTCTGTATTTAAACCGTTTACAAACTTCACTAACACAGAACATGAGACTATAGTACTTAACACATTAGACATCCCACTTCAGCTGACACTACCACCTCCTTCTTTTACTCCATCTTAGGTTGCACTTCAAATCAAACAATTACCGAAAAGAAAAGCTCCTGGTCATGACTTAATAACAGCCGAGCACTCCAACAAATGCCCAAGAAAGCTCTAATATTTCTGACAACAATTTACAACTGTATACTAAGGACGTCAAAATTCCCTTTACAATGGAAATACTCACTTATTAAGATGATTCACAAACTCGATAAAGACATATACAGTCCTTCATCCTACAGACCCATTAGCCTCCTTCCTATATGCTCTAAAGTTTTTGAAAAATTAATATACAAAAGACTTGTTGACATATTGACTGACCAACAGGTAATACCTGACCACCAATTCGGCTTTCGCACATTCCATTCGACGACACATCAATTGCACAGATTTACAGACTACATTGCTGGAGCTTTAGAACAAAAACTATATGCAACTGGAGTATTTTTGGATGTTGCTCAGGCGTTTTATAGAGTCTGGCACCAGGGTCTTCTCTTTAAACTTAAGACTATACTTCCATACACCTACTATCTTATCCTTCAATCTTTCCTCTTCGACAGATTTTTTTTCAGTTCGGCAGGGCTCGGAAGTGTCTTCAGTCCGTCCAATCTTGGCCGGAGTACCCCAAGGTTCAATACTAGCCCCTCTACTTTACGTTATATATACTTACGATATACCTATTGACGATGAGATCTTGACAGCTACATATGCAAACGATACAACAATCCTCACAAAATATCAAGACCCTACACAGGCCTCACTAACTCTACAACATCATTTGTTTAAACTACAAGATTGGTTCACACTATGGAAAATTCGACTTAATCATGACAAATCCAAACATATAACATTTACTCTTCGAAAAAAACACCTATCCTCCAGTTTATATTGACAACAATCAAATTCCTCAAACGGACACGGTACTTTACCTTGGACTCACCTTCGACAGAAGGATGACATGGGGCCCACATGTTAAAATGAAACGCATGACACTTAACAAACGACTCAAACTACTTTACTCTCTTTTTGCCAAATCTTCAAAACTAAAACTAAAACAGAAACTGAATACATATACATACTTACTTAAGCCCATATGGACATACTCATCACAAATATACGGCATCGCTAAAAAGACCCACCTACAAAAACTTTACTGGTACGTGACTAACAAAACTCTACATACTGACCTCCATTTCCAACAGTTGACCAACATATAACGACCGTATTTCAACGATTTTACACAAATTTAAATGGACATAATAACAGACTTATAAGAGACATGGCCACAGCTGACATACCTCAGAACCTGAGCAAGAGACTAAAAAGGCGTTGGATGAGGGATCTCCTTCCTTAGACAACCTAAGTAATTGGAACAAGTTAGGGAAGAGGTACCGCTGAGTACTTTCCTTCCCCATGCCTGTCATGTCATTATATCATTATCGCCATCACATTTGCTGATTGTCAACTTATTGTTGACAGGCACAAATACATATTTTATAGACAAAAAAAAAAAAAAAATTAAAAAATGCTATGCATGTGCCGGAAATATTGATCCCCAGATGGACTCATACCTCACCAATTACACATACCTCAATCGCCAGATATAAAAAGGACATAGCACTTCCAGTTGTAGTACAAATATTATTTTTGGAGAATTTGGAGAAATGCAAGGAGAGGAACATCTTGTATACCGATGCTTCAAAAGTAGATAGGGAAGTAGGATGCTCGGTTCTAAACTCA